GTATTATCGCCGATTTGTAGAGGGTTTCTCTTCTATTGCTACACCTATGACCAAATTGACCCAGAAGGGTGCTCCGTTCAGGTGGACCGAGGAATGTGAGGAGAGCTTCCAAAAGCTCAAGACAGCTTTGACTATAGCCCCAGTGTTGGTATTACCTATAGGTTCAGGGTCTTATACTGTGTATTGTGATGCGTCGCGTATTGGTCTCGGCGCAGTGTTGATGCAAGACAGTAGGGTGATTGCCTACGCATCCAGACAATTAAAAGTACATTAAAAGAATAATCCGGTCCATGACCTTGATTTAGCAGGTATTGTTCATGCCTTGAAGATTTGGCGGCATTATTTGCATGGTGTCCATTGTGAGGTCTACATCGATCACCGGAGTCTACAATATCTGTTTAAATAAAAGAATCTTAATTTGCGGCAACGAAGATGGTTGGAGTTGCTTAAGGATTATGATATCACTATTCTCTATCATCCCGGGAAGGCCAATGTAGTGGCCGATGTCTTGAGTCGTAAGGCGGAGATTTTGGACAGCTTAGCATATTTACCGGTAACAGAGAGGCCTTTAGCCTTGGATGTTCAGGCCTTGGCCAACCAGTTTGTCAGGTTGGATATTTCCAAGCCGAGTCGAGTTTTGGCTTGTGTGATTTTTCCGTCTTCTCTTTATGATCCTATCAGATAGCGTTAGTACGATGACCCCTATCTGCTTGTCGTTAAGGACACAGTTCAACACGGTGATGCCAAGGAAGTCACTATTGGAGATGGCGGTGTATTACAGATGCAGGGATGGCTATGTGTGCCTAATGTAGATGGTTTGCGTGAGTTGATTCTCCAAGAGGCTCACACTTCACGATACTTCACTCATCCGGGTGCTATAAAGATGTATCAGGACCTGAGACAGCAATATTGGTGGAAGCGGATAAAAAAGAACATAGTGGAGTATGCAGCTCGGTGTCTCAATTGTCAGCAGGTAAAATATGAGCATCAACGGCCAGGTGGATTGCTTCAGAAGTTAGAAATTTCGGAGTGGAAATGGGAGCGGATCACTATGGATTTTGTTGTTGAGCTTCCACGGACTCAGCAGAAGTTTGATGCAGTTTGGGTGATTGTGGATAGGCTGACCAAGTCAGCTCATTTCATTCCTGTGATGACTACCTATTCTTTCGAGCAGTTGGCTCAAGTCTATATTCGCGAGATTGTCAGACTTCATGGCGTACCGGTATCTATCATCTATGACCGGGGTACACAGTTTACCTCACGGTTTTGGAGAGCTGTACAGCGAGAGTTGGGTACTAGTGTGGAGTTGAGTACATCATTTCACCCTCAGACAGACGGGCAGTACGAACGCACTATTCAGATATTGGAGGATATGCTTCGTGCGTGTGTGATAGATTTTGGGGGTGCTTTGGATAAGTTCTTACCACTTGTGGAGTTTTCTTACAACAACAGTTATCAATCGAGCATTCAGATGGCGCCGTATGAGGCCTTATATGGCAGGCGATGCCGGTCTCCAGTGGGTACAGACTTGGTTCAGGATGCCTTGGAAAAGGTTAAATTGATTCAGGATCGACTTCGTACAACCCAATCTAGACAGAAGAGTTATGCGGATCGGAAGGTTTGTGAAGTTGCATTCATGGTGGGTGAGCGGGTTTTGCTTCGGGTTTCGCCTATAAAGGGTGTGATGAGGCTTGGGAAGAAGGGAAAGTTGAGCCCTAGGTATATTGGGCCTTTTGAGATTCTTGAGAGAGTTGGAGAGGTAGCTTACAGACTTGCACTACTACCTAGTCTCTCTACAGTTCATCCGGTATTCCATGTTTCTATGCTCCGAAAGTATCACGGCGATCCGTCTCATGTGTTAGACTTCAGCTCAGTTCAGTTGGACAAGGATCTATCTTATGTTGAGGAACCAATGGCTATTTTGGATAGGCAGGTTTGAAAGATGAGGTCAAAGAACATTTCTTCCGTGAAGGTTCATTGGAGGGGTTATCCGGTCGAGGAGGTGACTTAGGAGACCGAGTAGGTTATGCGCAGCCATTATTTTCATCTTTTCACCACTTCAGCTATGTCTCTATGCTCGTTCGAGGATGAATGATTGTTTTAAGAGGGGGAGGATGTAACGACTCGGCTAGTCGTTTTAAAAGTTGTAGCCCCATTCCCTTATTTACTGCTCATTCTGTACTTTATAACTGATATATGACTTGCCGGAGTAATTGGTTTAGGTCCGGTGAGGTTTTGGAATGAATTGGAACACTTAGTTCTAAGTTTTAAAGCTTAAGTTCAAATAGTGACCGGATATCGACTTATGTGCAAACAACTGCGGAATAGAATTTTGATGATTCCAACAGCTCCGTATGTTGATTTTGGACTTAGGAGCATGTCCGAAATTTTATTTGGAAGTCCGTAGTTAAATTAGGTTTGAAATGGCTAAATTAGGAATTTAAGTTTGGAAGTTTGACCAGGGAGTTGCCTTTTTGATATCGGGGTCGGATCCAGTTCTGAAAACTTTTCATAGCTCTGTTATGTCATTTATGAGTTGTGTGTAAAATTTGTGGTCAATCGGACTTGATTTGATAGGTTTCGACATCTAATGTAGAAGTTGAAAATTCTTAAGTTTCATTAAGCTTGAATTGGGATGTGATTTGTGATTTTAGCGTTGTTTGATGTGATTTGAGGTTTTAAATACGTTTGTATGATGTTTTAGGACTTGTTGGTGTACTTGGTTGAGGTCCCGAGGATCTCGGGTGAGTTTCAGATAGTTAACAGATCAAAAGTTAGACTTAAACAGCTGCTGCAAAAGCTGCTGCAATTTCTTATGCTGGAAATGCAGAAATCGAAGCCCAGAAAATCAAGCCCAGGATCGAAGCCCAGAAGTCGAGGCCAGGGTTGAAGGCCAGGGTCGAGGGCCAGGATCGAAGCCCGGGTTGATGCTCGGGATCGAGGGACATGATCGAAGGCCAGAATCAAGAGCCATGATCGAAGGCCAGGATCGAGGGCCAGGATCGAAGCCATGATCGAGGGCCATGATCGAAGCCATGATCGAAGCCATGATCGAGGGCCATGATCAAAGCGTTGATCGAGAGCTAGGATCGAGGGCTGCCTGGATAGAATTATAAAACAGGGGACTTCGTCCCCTGTGCCATTTTTGACGAATTGGAGCTTGAGAAGAGGCTATTTTTGATAGGTTTTCAAGGAAAAACATTTGGATTCGAGCCATTCAGAGTCGGATATTCGTGAAAAAGGTATTCTTACCGATTGATTGAGCCTTGTTCGAGGTAAGTGACTAGTCTAACCTTGTGTGGGGAAAATTTTTCCTAGTATTGGTATTGATGTGATAATTGTAATGTGATGAAAGTCGTGTATATGAGGTGACGAGTGTGTACACGGGCTAAATGTAAAAGATTATGTTTTTAAATTGTGTAGATCATTGTTGCATATTAATTAAATTATTAAATCTTGTTATATTCTCCATCATTGATCTGATTTATATACTTTAAATTTGCTTGACTTTCTCCTGCTAATTGTTTTTACCTGTTTAGCTGAAACTTGATTTCTTTTATTCTGTGCATTATTTGAAGGTAAAATTTCTTTAATTTAAATATTATTAATATGAAGTATTTAATATTTTAAATTTGGAACTGAGGCAACGTATTAAAAAAAATAATATTATTTTTGCTGAGTTATTTATTCCCGAATATTTTGTGAGATTTTGTACTCATTGTGATTGAACCGTGAGCTCTCTGTTGTGGAAAGTATTGTTGATGTTGTTTATTTTGGCAAATTGAATTATTTGGACACTTGAGGTATAAATTGTGATATATTGTGATATTGATACGCATGCGGTGGTATAAGGTTTGGGTGTTGAAACGCGTGCGATGAGATAAGGGTGACTTGATACGCGTGGCTAGTAGGGGAACTACTAGAAGTCATGCGGTGTGATAAAGGTGGCTAAAACGCGGGATGCTATTTCGAAAAAATTATTTTTCTTTAAAATTAAATGTGAAGGCTCCCGCGGTGATATAAGAAAATGAGATATTGTGAATTTATTTTTGATTTGATATTGATTTATGGCCGCAGTTGCCTTTGATTATTGTTGTGATTTTCTTAAAGTTGAAAAGAATTCTGTTTTGTTTCAACGAGGTATTTTTTTCCATTATTTTGCGTAGTTAATTGGTGACATACTACTTACTTGATTCGTTTCCATTGTCATTTCATTTTTATTATATTGTTAGACATTTCACCTTGTCTTTTATTATTCCAGTAGGGTCTGACCTGACCTCGTCACTACTCTACCGANAATGTTTTTCAGATTAAAAATTATTTAGTTCAGATTTCTATTGTTATTCCGCATTGATAGGCTTACCTAGTCTTAGAGATTAGGTGTCATCACGACATCCTACAGAGGGAATTTGGGGTCGTGACAGAACGCGAATTGGGCAATTTTGGTCCCTCCTCAGTGCTCAGAATGACGGTGTGGACTTGAGAAATCTTATACTTCCTCACTCTCGGACTCAGTTGGAAGTCGAATGCAAAATTTATTTTGCGTCTTTAATTTTATAAATTTTCCTATTCAATTATCGTTTGAGTGAGCTAAATAGGATCATATTTATAATTTTTTTAATAATTTAAACTTTTATTTTTAATTTTATTTTTCTAACTCAAATATTCTTTTAATTATATAATTTTTTAATTTTATACTCATCAATATGGGTCGCGTGCCTAAAAACTAGTAACACAAAAGGTTTAAGTTAGTAGATTACTTAATGAAACTTCTTATATGTCCGATATATATTCTAAATTCTTCTTCCAAAAAGTAAATGTCTAAATACTGCCCACATGATTCTCAACTACTATTATTAAACTACTGCATGGTATTCATGTTTTTCCCTAATTAAGAAACATCATCAACTTTTGATCATGAAATTTGTTAAAACTTGACATATGCTCCACCAATTATATTCACAAAATAACAAAAAGAAAAACTAACATCAGTTCTTGGTAGAAGTTTTACATGCTTTATTTATTGTAGTAAACAAAATAAGATAGGAATACAAACAAACATAAATTTGACTATTACACTATTACTAAGGCCATCTCCTACTAATCCTAACTTTAAAGCCATATCTCATATAGAGAATAATAGAAGTATTAGGTTTAATAGGGTGTCCTTCCACTACTTGAACTTGGTAATTATGGATAATAGTAGCAGCCACAGCCTTCATTTGAGTGAAAGCCACTTCTTTCCCTAAGCAAGTTCTTGGTCCAGCATTAAAAGCCAAGAACTTATATGAAGGTTCATGTTTAATAGTTCCTCGCTCAGAAATCCATCTCTCTGGCTTGAATTCTAAACAATCTTTACCCCAAATTGACTCCATTCTCCCCATCGCGTACAAGGAAAACAAAATCTTCAAATTTGGATGAACTTTGTGACCACTTGGAAGTATGTCTTCTTTAAGCGGCTCTTTGTGCTGAAATGGAACTGGTGGATATAACCTTAACGAATCACATAATGCACCATGTAGGTAAACCAATTTGTTCAATTCATGGACATTGAATATCCTCCATTTTCCAACTTCTTCTTTGGGAATAACTGAATTGATTTCTTCCCTTAATTTCTTCTCCACTTGTGGATTTTGTGTAACAAGCCAAATGAACCATGTGAGAGCTGAACTAGTCGTGTCACGCCCCGCTATCATTAGGTTCAAGATGGTGTCTCTTAAAAACTTATCATCACAATTCACTCCCATATTCTGACCTTCCTTGAGATAAAAGGTCAGAAGATCAAAACCCTCGTCTTCTAATTTCAACTCAGATTCTATTTTCAACAACTTATCGCGTTTTTTGGATATATAATTGCCTATAACATTGTCCATAGTTTCCCAAGCTTTAATCAACTTCTTTTCTTCTCCAATTCCAAGCCATTTTTGTAGTCTCCAAATAGCCTCGGGCATGACATGTCGAACAAGAATTGCTTCTTCAGCATCATCCATTGCTTTTGAGAAGGGAACATCAGGAAAATCTATAGATACACAACCAGGATCATATCCAGTAACCAATATACAAGTAGTATCAAAAGTAAACCTTTGAAATAAATCTTGTAAATCCACTATTACACCCTTGTGACAAACATGATCAAGAACTGGAATTAGTCCTTTTTCCACCTTCTCGCGACTAGTCTTTACTAAAAACATGTAAAATTGTTGGTGAGTGATTAAAGCACGAGCCGTCTTCCTTTGAATCTTCCATAAATCCAAATCCGCATTGAAAATCCCATCTCCTAAAACGTCGAAAATCTCCCTAAACTTTGGCCCTTTTGGGAAATTCATGAAATTTTCACTCATGATGTAGTGCACATTTGCTGGATCAACTGTGGCTAACATGTCCATTTTTGCAAATAATGGACCTTTGAATAAAAAAGTTCCCCCTGATCGCCTCATAGTCATAGTTACCCTTTCATGAATTTCTTGCATGTAATAAAGGGTACCTGGTAACATACCAAAAATTGGCCAGTTTCTTGGATATCCCTTTGTATCTTTTAACCCATGAAACAAGAAAAAGCATAGTATTGCTAGGAAAATTTCAATGTAACCTAACCCTATTATTGCCATTTTGTAGGTTATTTCTTGAAAGATTTCAAACTGAGAAAAGTGGCTATATTATATATAGAGGGAGAATGGTTAGCTCCCTCAAAAGCGTCGTTTGGTTTATATACACTCTTGAAAGACTAGTAAATTGACCACTTGCTTTTATAATACATTTTCAAGATAGTTAGCGATGAAAATATTCTATTTTTAGGGGGTGTTTATTTTTCTTCACTATTAATTTGCTGGTTTCAAGTTAGAACGCCTTTCATTCGGTGAACTTCCAACCAGAAATGGTTTTAATTGAGAAAGAGAAAAGTTTAAAAAATTTCTTTTAGTTTTGGTAGTTTATGAGTAGTTTACCTTCTATACGTTTGAGATTACACTATCGGATCAGTTCAAAATATTATTTTTTTACTAAATTATCCTTATGAATCGTAATTTAAAGGTTTAAATTTGACTACTAGTAATTCTATTAGTTTGAGAAATGATTGCTTAATTATAAGGATAAAATTTTAAAAAGAATTCTCATGATTTGTTAATATTTACTTCCTCTGGTCCCACTTTAATTGATTTTTTTGACTATTTTCACACATATTAAGGAATCTACCTTTTAGGATTAATTAACAATAAAATTGATCATATTAACCTTAATTTGTTCACTGAAAATATAAAAAATACTCCTAGGCTCTTTACTCCAAGGAAAACTTTAAAAAAAATTAATTCTTTTTCGATATCTGAAAAAATCAAATATTATGGATCACAAAAAAAGGCAAAAAAATCAATTAAAATGGATTGAAGGGAGTAACAAATAAAAGATCTTTTTTCTAGTATATGAACAAGTAAAAGAGAACGGATAAAGTAATTACAAGTAACTGCTTATAAAAGATGGAATTAGTAAATAAGTTAAATTGCACGGATAATTAAGTGAGTTAATTAAACGTATGAGGATACGTAGGTTTGCATTGGAAAGGGATAAAATTTATATGCATGCGGCATTAAAATTAGTTGACCTGCCCGCCAATAGCCACATTTATTAGTTGAATTGTCCTTTTGTTAACAAGAAACTAGAAAAAACACATGTCCATTGCGTTTAGTAAAAGTACAAATTTCATTTATCTGATGTATTACTTCATCATTTGGAATTATTCCTATCTTATCCTAAAATGTGGAAGAATGCGGTGTCCTCAACTAATATGATGTATCTTAATGTATGACATACGTTTAAATGTCAAAAATCAAAGGAAGCATCAAAAATAGAAAACAAAAAAAAATGTGTTTTTATCTGGTGTGACATACTGGGGCAGAGCTACGATAAAAGTTATCGATTCGATAAAACTAATAGCATTAGTTCAAACTCTACATTTATTTTTTAAAAATCGCATAATATATATAAACAATCTATCTCGAATCTAGTAATCAAGATTCAAGAAAAGTTATGCATCAAAATTTATAAATTTGAAATTCTGAATCCGCAGTTGATAACTCTAATTGAGTAATACATGTACAGAATTTATAGTTTCTTAGTTGTTAGATGTTAGTTTGTAAGATGAATCTAACTGAGAATCGTCACCATTTTGACCTTTTGGAAATGAATTTCCACTAAATTTTGAAGCTTCGGTTTCTTAGTGTTTTCTATTTGTATTTAACTGTTTTAACCTACTAAAAGTGGGTTCATCTAGGATAAATAGCAGTCATGAACTCAGGCTGCAATTGTACTTTGTTTCGAATTTTGTATTACCTTAAATTGACTAGAAATTTTAAAATGTTAAAGACTTCCAGACCAATTGTTTAGTTGGTAAAGTAAATGGAACTAAAATGAAGATAAAAGATAGTAGTATATTTCAGAGAGATACTGCTAGTGCAACTCGAGGCGGAGCCAAAATTAATTGAACCTTATGGGTTCGAAATTGTAATCTTTTTTAAGTTATTGGGTTCTAAATTAATAAGTTATACATATTCAATGGATTTCTTAAGACAAATACATAATTTGAACAAAAGCTATTGGGTTCGGCCGAACTCACAACCCGCACTCTGCCTCCGCCCCTGAGTGCAGCTAACAAGGGCACTCACTAAGAAACCCTTTTAGTTTTTTGTTTCTTTCTTTTTTTCTGTCCAAACTTTCAGGATAAATCAATTATGACGGAAATACAATAACAATAATAACATACCCAATATATTCTCACAATGTAAGATTTGTAACGAATAATGTACACGTAGACCTTACCCCTATCTTATGAAGATAGAAAGAGTGCTTCGGACATATTATTGGCTCAAGAGAAGAAATTCACATCAGGTACGTGCAAAATGTTGGAACACCATTATTACAACAAAGTTAACATTTTTTTCTATCCATTTTATGTGACACAAATTTTCAAAAGTCTAACATATAATTTTGGCACCAAGTTAACATTCCCTTATAAGGTTCTACTATATTAATTTTAGAATCTATATCCTAAGCTAGCTAGATAATTTTAGTGTAACAGCTCAGCCTGCTAGTGATATTGTCCACTTTGGGCCTAGGCCCTAACTGATTTAAAATGCGTCACTAGGGTCTAAGACTTGTTTACTTATATGCCCAACATCTCTCTTGTGTTTTGTCGATATGGTACTCTGTCTAAAGTCTAGAGTGTTACATACACCTTCTCTTATGGTACTGAGGTTTGCCCCGCCTAATCAGAATTTGCCTAAACTCACTTGAATTCTGACCCACCATCGGCATCGCTGACACAAAAGTGGCTCTGATACCATCTATAATAGCCCAGTCCGCTAGTGATTGTCCGCTTTGGGCCTAGGCCCTCACAGATTTAAAATGTGTCACTAGGATATGGCTGGCATGTGGGCCGGGCCCGGGCCTAAGTGGGCTTCGTGGGCCGGTCCTAAGTGGGCCCGGTCCCAATTTAAACGATCTTCGCGGGCCATGACTTTACGGGCTTTTTGTAGGAACCGGCCCGGGACCGGGTCCCATGAACTAATGGTCCCGGTCTAAGTGGGCCGGTCCCGGGCCTAAGTGGGCCTAACAGATACTTTTTATTTTTTTTAAAAAAATTTATAGAAGTTATAAAAAAAATGGTAATAAAAATATTTAAGGCAATTCCTTGTAAATTATATTATACAATTGTGACCTAAATTTTTTAATTCAAATTTAAAGACAAAAATATTGTAAAGAGATATTCAAAGCAATGCGTAATAATTTTATTATAGCATTAAAAAAACATGACAATATCTTTCTTAGTCTTCCTCCCCTATGCAATGAGCATAACAAGGTGATAATACCACCATTGAGAAGAAAAAGAAACTAATCAAGATGTGCCAAAATACAAGTTACATATTAATTTTTGTTCATGCAAGTTACATGGTATCTCTTACAAATTTCATAAATTTTTCAAGGTCCGGAGGAATTTCCGTTGGTAGTGTCGGAAAAGAAGCTTGGTCATCACCACTTCCGGGCGAAGCAGCATCCTCCGCAAGTTCAGCTAGCATTTCTTCGTAAGTTTCTTCTACCTCTGATTGTGATTCAGCAAGTCCAAAATTTATTCTTTCCGAACGGATCCACTATCTGACAAGTACTGATTTTTCTAAGATCTCCCTCATAGACGCTCTATAATCACCGAGTTGAAGTCTTGTTTGACTGAAAGCGCTCTCCGATGCCACTTTTGAAGCTTGAATAGTTAAAATGCCTCGGGCCATCCTTGAAAGAATCGGAAAGTATTTTTCTTTGTCCTTCCACCATTCCAAAATATTAAAGGAGCCGTCGGGATTCACTTCCTCAATTCCATGTGATAAATAAATTTTAAACTTATTAAGTTGTGAAAAATCACTAGTACTAGGTTAAACCCCTGAACCCCGCCCAAGCACTAAGTGCTCTTACTTCCGCAGTTCTTTTAGATGATTGAGAACTAGAAGAAGAAGGATTTGGAATATTTGGTCTAGCATGATCTAATGCAACTTGATAAACATTATAAATAGTTTGAACATTTATTTTAATTAAGGCTATTGCGTCTGGAAGTTTAGACAATTTCTCATCTTTAAGTGCTAAACCATTATAAACAGTTTCATACCAAAATTGAGGACCTCCTAATTTCATAGTAGGATTTAACAAGGTAGCAACACCATAAATAGGGAGAATAGGGAAAAAATATTTTTAAAACTTTTTTGTCATAGAATCAATAGCTAGTTGATAAATTTCCCCACCTTCTGAAAAATGATTAAACAAATTTACAAGTTCTGTAATATAAATTAAACAGTTAGAAATAGTAGGATAACATTGCCCAGAAAATTCATTTGTAGCAATATGAAATTTTTCTAAAAAATCTACAAGCATTTTAACATTAGCACAATCCGCATTTGTAAAGTGCTCATCATCATCACTTACATGAGCATTAAACGTTGAGTTTATGGGGTTTTTATATTCATACGCAACAACTAAACTTTCATACATGTAATTCCATCTAGTTGGACAAGGTTTAGGAACCTTTCTTTCTCTTAGGCCAAATTCATCGCATCTTTTAAAATATTCTCTATGTCGACTTCTACGGTTTGAATAAAAAAGCCAGTTAAGAGCCATTTTAACCTTTTCAATTTCAACATTTAAAATTTCCATACCATCACCGACAATTAAATGGTAAATATGACAAATACATCTAACATGAAAAATATTACTAAATGCAGGATTTAGTGTAGTGGTAAGCAAGGTTACATCATTTGTATTACTAGTAGCATTATCCATTGAAACTGACATTATTTTATCACTAATGCAAAAATATCTATAAATATCCGTAACCGTGCTAGAAATAAACTGCCATGTGTGACGTGAATTAATTATTCTATAAGCAATAATGCGCTTTTGCATTATCCAATCCTCATCAATCCAATAACTGGTAACAGTAAGATAATCACAGTCATTACCACTTCTACCAATATCAGTTATAATAACAACACGACAATTTATATGAGTAAATAAATATCGCAAATATTATTCATATTTATGTTTATATTTATAAATATCGCTCTTTACGGTTGTGCAAGGAAAACCTTTATAAGTAGGATTAAAAACTTTTCTAATATAATGCACAAAGTGAGGGTTAGAAGGAAAACTATAGGGTAAACACATAACAG